CCCGGAGCAGGGGGCGTGAGAACCCCTCCCGGTCGCGAGTGGGTTGCTGCTGCCTGTCGCCTGCGCTTGGCGCTTGGCTTCCAGCTCTGGTCTGTGCGTCCACCCACCCTCCGCTAGCGCAGAGCACCGCGGAGGATGCTCCTTCTCCTTCTGCTGCTGGCAGCGAGCAGGCACCTCCCCCGGGCCTTCCTAGAGGCGTTTGGGCTTTTCTCCAGCTTCCAGAAGCAGCTGGAGCGCCCGTATCCCTGGAGTCTGGGGGAGCTGGTTGCTTGCGGTGGCTACAGTCCCCCCTCCATGCCCCTCCCCCGTAGCTTTTTTCCCTCTCTGAGGCTAAGGCTCAGCATTCCTCCAAAGCTGTGCCACCATCGCTGCATGCTTCATGTATGCGTAGAGGCCCCTTCGCCTTGGAGTAAAGGTCCCTCGGTTCCTCTCACCCTCCTAGCCTCCCAAACTCATTATTCGACATCTGGCTGGGTTTTGCAAGGGGTCCCAGGAATGCTAGTTGTGTTGAGGCAGGGATGGTTTGTGTGTTTCTGAGCGTCTACCATTTGATAACTAGCTGTGTGAACGAATCACTGTGAGACTGCAGATTCCCAGTGTTTGATTCCAAACAACATCATCCAATGTCACATGCCCTGAGCATCTACCATAAATTCCAGAAAGGGGGGTGGTGGCTTTTTTCCCCCGATTCTGTGCGGTGATGAGGGATTTAGTGATAGCCCTTCTATACTGGCAGGTTTTTCCTTCCCCCAAACCTTGCTGGACATAATGGGTCGCGCCCTTTGCTTTCATAGCCCTTTATGTGACAACGATAGAATCTTTGAATCAAGATATCAAGCCTGTTAATCAATGGTAGAATCTTAAAATCAAGTGACAGTCTAAGGAAGTAATTTATCAACATAGTTTATTTTCTGAGTGATTCATGAAGCAAATGACAAAAATTTTCTTCAAGTTCCGTGGGATCTTCCAAATATTCAACTTCCAGAAGATAGGTTGATTATTCATAACTACATTTATAACTGAAAAGCACTTTTGCTTAGGAAAAAGAATTAACTTCTATAATCTCACCTTTGGAGTAATGGTACAAATAAACGGGATTATCTTGCAAATGTGTTTTTAATACCATGACAACAGAAGTTGATCATTGGTTGTGTGGGAGGAAAACTCTCACTGTTTTTTAAAACTTGTTAGTCACAAATCGTATGGGGTTGATTTCTAACCCAGATTTTAATCAGTTAAGACCAGAGCTGCTAAAGGTATATGCAGTCTGTTTAAAGGCACAAAGTTTCTTCAGATGTCATTGGGGCATTATCTCCATTTTACAGGACACATATACTCTATTAGTCCAAAGATACTTTGCTCAGATCAAGTAGTTAGCTCCTAAGAAACTGGTAGAAAGGCGCATCCATGCCCTTGGAAACACCAATTCTTTCATGGATTTTGCATTCCCCTGTACAAGTCACCGAAGCCCTGGCTAACAAAGCGAGGAGCTGTCATTCTTCCTGAGCCTCGGCTTCGCTCATCAAGGTACACCGTGTGTGGGGTGTGGTGAGCAGCATGCAGGTTGTTCTTGGTTCACAGGAAGGGTGGTCTGAGGGACTGTCCGATGGTATGACCCAGTGTCAGGTACAAAGAGCCCCAATGATGCAGTTTTATAGTACAGCCAATGCATAGCTGATCTATTAGGAAATACCTTGAGATGAATTAGCTGTTAGATCTGTTTTGGGTAAGAACTAGCTCATTGGTCATTCCTAGGGAGTTCTCAGCATGGCTGTCTTTTGTTGAGAAGTCCCTTCTCCCAGGCACCATGACTAGAATAAATTCCTGTAATAAGAACACCTAGCACAGCTATCCCCGTCTTCAGACTGGTGAACTGAAGCTATGAAAACATACTAGAGTAACCTTTCAAGATCTAATGCTGATGAGACTATAGTTTGAAGCCAAGGGTAAGAAAGGTTGTGATTGCTTTTGTCCATTCACCAAAGAAATACTGAGCTGCATTCTGCCAGGTTCTGTGTGGAAAAACCAACAACAACATCAACCTGAAATGGTCCTTGTTAAAACTTTTGCTTTCCTGCTAGTCTTCTCTGTGAGTTTACCATTTCTCTTGAATTCGTTTCTCTATTTTTATGGGCCTTGGAAGACGCTCCCTCAAGTTGTTCCACCGGACCACATTGTACTTTAAGAACCCCCCCCCCCCCAGTTATCTTTAAAGGGAATTGTAAAAATCTGAATGCAATTGATGACATTGTAGAAATGGCAGTCAACCAGGAGAGTAATTTTCTGTTCTGGTGGTCCAGCCAGCCCTGGGGTGTGGGGTTGTGGGTCCTGCAGTTTCACCCCTCCTGGGGTAGTGACTACAGATGTTCTCTTTGTGTAAAGTGCCGGATGTGGTCCCTTCGGCGATGCGCTGCACACATCACAAGTGCACAGGCAGCTTTTCCACTTTCTAAGAAAGGATGAATGTTTTCTAGGGAAAAGCAGAATTGCTCTTGTATTTTTGTTTAACTACAATGCTTGATGAGTAATTCCGTGTTCTTGAGTCTAAAGAGTGAACCCAAGGAAGGAAGGACTTTCTGATATCTCTCCACATTCTCCTTTAGAGCTGTTTCTCTCCAGATGAATGAGTGTGGGAGTATCAAAGCGAGGAGCTGGTCATGGCTTTGATTCTTAAGATTTGCACACGCAAAAGCATTTAGTACTCACTGAGTACTACGAGTGTTTGCTGAGTGTGGTTTCAGATGCTGGCATGAGGCTTCTTTTTCCAAAGGAAATTTCTTCCTATGGCGCAATTCATCCCGTTAGTATTGAATTCTGTGTTAATAATGTTTTGGATCACCCTCAGAGACCTTCCATGTTTACTTGTGATTGGTTTTGATATTTTTAATACCATGGTAAGCGGAGCAGATTAAGAGCCCCCACCATTTGATATAGTGGAAGATGACCTTTTGCAAAGTTTGTGACATTTCTATGGTAAGTAATATTTTACTGTGCTTTGGGAAGAGAGGACCAAAGAATCTGAGCAAACAGAGCCTTCCTGAATTAAATCAGCAAATCCAACATGTAACAGGAATCCTAGGATGGGGCGGGGGGAGGGTGGGTGATCGAGGAAAAACACCATTGAAAATAATTCCCCTGATCCACAGAAAGACCTGCGATTACAGACAGAATGAATTTTGGACTTACACATGACAAGACCCAACCATATACAGATAGAATTCTTCAAGTCTGAAGGGAAAAAAAGAAGCGAACATGTTACAAATTCCTTAAACAAAAAAATCTAATTAATAATAAAGCAAAAAGAATGGAACTGAAGCCACCTGTGATGGGCTTGAGTCTGACTGAGTGCAAAGCCCAGAGCTAGCATGATCAAAGAGCGGAGGAGAGCATCACCCGGACAGGTAAGGAGAGTATGGGGGTTCTTTCCAAGACAATGCCTCACAGAAAGGAAGTGTGGGGATTTTATTTGGGGAAATACATATTCACGTGGGCAAGCACTTCAGAAGCAGGCCCATTCCTGGGCATGCTCGCTTAAAGTCGTACACTCCTGAATGTGCTCAGTTTAAGGACAAGAATGACAAAGAACACAGTTGCTTAGCTTAAGATCATGAAGCACATGTTAAAAAGTTTATGCTATGTTAAAAAGTTGGACATACAGGAAACCTTTTGAGCATAATCAGCTTGCACCATGAAGATGTTGAATGCTTCCTGACATCCTTCCAGAGGTTGGTTTGTTTTAAGATTTATTCTCTCTCTCTCTCTCTCTCTCTCTCTCTCTCTCTCTCTCTCTCTCTCTCTGTGTGTGTGTGTGTGTGTGTGTGTGTGTGTGTGTGTCTAGGAAGTGTTGGATCCATTGGAAATGAAGTTATAGGAGTTTGTGAGCTGCCTGATGGGGAGGTTTGGGGTCTAAACTCTTTCTCCTCGCTCCAGCTCCCAAACTTTTAACTGAAACAAAATGAAAGGTTACTTTGAAGATGCTGTAATATGGCTAGTTCCCTCATAAAAATCCCTGCCTCGCTCAGCAGCTAACAATATTGACACTGGACTTTTTTTTTTAATATACCCTTAAAGGCAAAAGGAATGTGAAGTTAATCACATAGTCTCCCCTTTAATGTACTATACCAGGACAATGCAGACGAGGTAACTTACAATAAAGAGAAATTAACTGGCTCACAGTTGTGAAAACTGAGAGGCTGCCTATCATAGCATTTGGTGTGAGCCTTCCTGCTGCACATCCCATGAAGGAAGGGAAAAAAGAGGGCAAGAGGGAGGCAAGACAGGCCTGACTAGGTTCATGCATTTAATATGGAATCAACTTCTGCCATATGGAAATCAGTAGTGTACCCATGACCCTTCACCCCCTAAGGGTTCCAACTCCCAGCATCTTTAGACACCAGATCATAATACATGCTAAGCATTTTTGAGTCCAGGAAGCCATTTCTCAGGTCAAAGAAAGAAATTTATAAAGAAACATAGCAACCCTGAATCACATAAAAGAAAATGCTTGAAATAAGACTTTAAACCACACAAAAGTTGATTTTAATTTTCCCTTTTGAAGACAGGGTCTCACTGTCCAGAATGGCCTTGGAACTTGGAACT